TACCAGACTTTAAATTGCCTAAATTTAAACGGGCACTCAATGCCCTCCCCCATGGGAACCCCCCCTCCCCATCTAACCAAACTCGTTACCTTACTGCACCTGGAATAAGTCTTACCCCTTCCGTCATGCCTTTCCCGTCCTCCTGGTCTTCTCTCCACCAACCTGTATCTAGACCCTCCTCACCCCCTAATTTCCAAACAAGCCTTCAATCCACAACTCAAATTTAGTTTTATCCAAAAGCTTTCTAGACCTTCCCTATTCTTCATAAATTCTCTTCTAAATGTCTACAAAACACGTTCCTATTTCGTCTGTATTCATATATCCCCAAGAAGAACATGTATGTCATACAAGCAAGTACTACACTGTATGTGTGTATAATTATGATTATATCCTCCCCCAAACCTAGCGTAACGGCTCACATGCTGTTGATACTCAACACACATTTGTAAATTAACTATCTTTAAGACAGTCATTTATAAACTTTACATTATGAGATCAAATTAAAGAATATATTTTAAATAAGACTATAACAACTAAATTAGGATGAGCTATGTATTATAAACAAATAAAATGCTTTCAAGACATATTTTAAAGAGAAACGTTCATTCTAATCTTATTCCTGACCTTGTCACCTATTTAGGGCTAATAAAACACTGAAAATACTAATTAAGCAGGCTAATTTTATTTTATTTATTTTTTTATCCTCACCGGAGGACATTTTTGCATTTATCATCAGATAGAGCAGGAGGGAGAGAGGGAGGAAGGGAGAGAGAGAAACATCAATGTGAGAGAGACACATCAAGTGGTTGCCACACACAGGACCCCAACCAGGGCTGGGGCCAAACTGCAACTGAAGTACGTGCCCTTAGTGGGAACCGAACCCGAAACTCTCTTGTCTGCAGGCCAACGCTCTAACCCCTGAGCCAAACCAGCCAGGGCAAGCAGGCTAATTTTAATTTTCAACCCAAATTACTATTAAAATTAACAATAAAATATCTTAAACTCAGCTGGTAACATTTTATTTCCATATATATGCACAATGTAATTACTGCAAGCTCAATGGTAACAATAATTGTACATGAAATGCATGACTGTTAGACCCACAGCAGAGTTTTGTGGGTTAGTATGAAAACATTAATCCACTGTATGCAAATTTAAAATGGATTTTAGAGAAGATAGTTTACTGTACTAAATCACCCCCTAGGGAGCTAACTGCATTTGGGTAGCCATTAAAAAATAAAGTTTTTTGACTAGAGATGTGAGCTATCACACATGTAGAAGACCTGGATAAAAACTACCTTTAACATAACCTTAATCTATGACAGCAAAAAAAATACAAGACATTGAAAACACCTGGACAATCTAAAAGAAACCAGCCAACACTTAAAAACTTTTACTGACCATGAATGAACTACAGGGATTACACTTTATAATTTACAAATTCCTACACACACACACACACACACACACACACACACACAATTCTTCATCATACATCTAAAGTCATGGTACTCTACACTACCACATAAAAATGATACTGTACCTTGATTTTAATTTAATCTCTTGGTATGATGATTTAGAAACCAGAGTTTACTGCTTTTTTTTATTTTATTTTAAAAACTAACTAAAATTGACAGAGTCTAAAAGGGATAGAGAAATATATTCTTAAAGAGAAAGCACTTATTTTTTTAAATGACATAGCTCAAATACTAAAGACATACTCAAGTTGCCAATTTTTAGAGCATTTTTTTTTTAAATCTTTCTATTTTGGACAAATAGGATTAAGCTTCTTAGACAATTCTTTGTTGTTTTGACTTCAACAATTTATGCAAATGAGATGTTAATTAGTGTAATTGTAACTTAAATTATGCTTGTGTAAACCTCTCCATTGGTAGAAAAGTGTGGGAATCTACACAACTGGTATTTAAAGTAGCTGTACGAACTCCCTTCTGAAAGCCCAGCATAGCAAGATCACTTTCATGTCTTTACAATTTGTTTTTATGAGGTGATAACATTTTTACAAATACCATCATTTTTGGTTTTTTATATTGTAAGTGACAGTCTGACATTTTACAACTGGCTTATTGAAAACAAGAATTGAGCACTCTAGCAGCAACGGACATTAACTGCTGAATAGAGATTCAGATGCTAATGAGGTGAGAGGGGCCCCAGAAAGTTTTGATAAATGCTACACACACTCTAACTAGCTGTGAATGTGGGTTGACAAAGAACATCTACACCAGGGTTCAATAAAATGTAACCCTTTAAATTAATCATACTGGCAGTATTTAATAGAATGCACAACAATCTCCTTTTCTGTTGGCTATAAAGCTGGAGAAATGCAAAGTCTTCACAAATGAATGCTCCCACATTTCCCACTCCACACTGCTACTTTCATCTGAGCGTCCACAGCTGTTTCAAAAGTACTTACTGTAAATAGCAAAGTATAAGCAGATTTCAGAGTCTGACTCTTTCACAACATAGGATGTAAGTTTTTACTTCATTTTTATGCACAGATTTGAACAAAACCTCAGTAAGAAAAAAAGCATTGAAGATGTGAGTGCTTGGTTCAGAACCCAGCACACAGTAGGTCCTCAGTAAATGACAGTTATTGTAATAGGAAAGACCTGGCAACTTATGAAAAGAAAAAACCATCTGCTCACACAGGAAAAAAGGAAAATTCAGGAAGTAAGGCCTTCTGTCTTCAAATTCACAAACTTAAAGTAGGCCTTTGTTCTTCAGGGGCTGTTGGGAAACCTATTTTATTGCTTTTGGAAAGAAGTCTTCTTATACAGAACAAAAATAATGTCCTTTTAAGTGAAACTAGAATGAGCCTTACTATCACAAATGATTTATTTTATTTTTGATGCTCACACTAACCAAGATCTTCTATTGATTGCAAACTTGTAGATTTCAACAGACTAAGTTCAAGCAATCACCCTTATACTTCTTAAGCAAATGTAGAACATTAGCATGTTATTTCTTCTTAAAGTGACAATCCCTAATATCCTTTTTGGTTTTTGCCAATTTTAATCTTGGCAGGAAGTGGAAATCTGTGCACTCAGCAACACTGCAATCTTGCTGGCTGTCAAAATTATGTGTCAGCCAATGCCTGAGTGGTATTCTTGTCATTTCACCATGGTAAGAAACTTATCAGCCTGACATATAAAGCCTCTAAAAGTAGTGATTTGTGCCAAAATGTAGATACACTTACCCACCACCTAAATTTCATTTTTATAATTCCTATAATTATGATAACTTCCCCCAAGTATATGTCCAAATAGTAGTTAAATCTTCAAGGATGCTTTTTTTAAAAAAATTCAAGGAATAATTATTACTTCAATTTTTTAAAGATTAAATTTTAAAATGTATACATTTGTCTATATTGACACATGTATGTATACATTTTGTTAATATGCTTGCCTACAGATATTGCATACGTTTTTAAAAAATCATTTTCTCCCAAATAGTCTCCAAGTGAATGACACATTTCCAAGCCAACAAACTAATCACTTCTCAGTAGACTAGATAAAAATGATACCTTTACCCTTCAGCAAGCACTGGTTCCTCTTTGACTTTTTAAGAGTAAAAACTATCACTTAAAAAAAAAGTGAACAAGTAGAGAAATGCGTGCTATGGTTTAGAAATGGCCATTTAGCCAAATTGCATACCTGTGCTTGCTGTGTCAGCATCCTGGCAGAATCACCTCATTCTACTGGTCTAATGGATGGCGATTGAATTTAATTAACAAAACTCCTTTGACTTAGTTTCATACTGTGCTGAATGTAATGGGATCTCTCTCTATCTCTCTCTCTCCCTCTCCTTCTTGCATTTAAACTAAAAATGCCCTTAACTGCCATCCACTTTAAGAATATTAAAGGCTATACATTATACTTAAAGATATAATACAGTCATCTCCTTCCCCATGGCTTAAATTTAGTTACTGAATTATATAACATAAAATAATTAAAAAGATACTTTGATAGTGATACACAGTATAGATTCAATTACCACAATGTATCCATTAAAGGTACTTTTATAGTATGAATAAAATACAAATCCTCTTTATGGATCAATACCAGAACATAATTCTATTCTTCCTCCTAAAAAAAGGAAGTTAACCATTATAAATCATCTTCACATGAAAATGCTAAAAAGGTATTCCTTTGGAAGTGTTCTGTTAATCTCAATATATTAAGAATGTTACTTTCTCTATTATACTCATTTTTAAACTGTATACCTAAATTCAACAATATTTGATTACTGATTAACAGAAAACTTATTTGCCATTCTTTTTCATATTTATATAAATGCCTGACATTAAATTCAGAGAGACATTTCCATTAATTAAATAATATTTTCTAATTAAAATCAAGAACACACCAAAAAAAAAAAAAAAAAAATGCTCCTAAGGGATTCTGAGTAAATATTACTACTCTGCCTAACTTTTGCCTGGCTGGGCACTCTGAGACAAGTTCCTATGATTGATTATTGTGGTATCTCTGAATCTTTGACTTTGAACCATAACCTTTTTTGCGAACAATGACAGTTGGGACCTACCATTTGCCATCTGTAGAGATGGAGGGAGGAAAAGGACTTCACGTACATTAATCAACCAATTAAGAACAGACTTAAACAAAACACTAAAGCATAATAAACCCCTGACTGCTTAATAGCTTTCTACTTTTAATAGTTGTCTTCCTGCAGTCTGCTCACAAGATTAGGAGTAATCTGTTCAAGTCTCAACAAAAATTGCATGAGGAAAAGGGGGGAAAGTAAACCCATCCAAACTATAAATTTTAAATTGTGAAAAATGATACTTAAGGATTCCATAGTTCAAATCAAAACTTAAGAGGCTGATCCACACACCACAGTATCAAAGACTCTCACATCTATACAAAATATGGTATTTCACTGAAATATCTAAAATGATTAGTATATACAAATGAGCCTCTTATTTTGAAATATTAGGTAACTGCATTCTTTAAAATACCACTCACCCAATAATTTATACTATTTCACTGGGCATAAAGGAATTTGCCAGAAGTTGAGGTTTTAATTATTGTAACATAGAACAAACCTAGTAAGAAAAAAATTGAGAAAAAATTAACAAAACAAGGTAAGGTCTTGCCCTTTCTCTGATTAAAAAAAAAAAAATATATATATATATATATATGATCAGCAAATGTAATATTTAAATAATAAGGTATTAACTCAGTTTCATTCATGAATAAAATAAATAAATAGGAAACCAAGGATAAAAGTCAAGGATACGCATACTCAGAGGCTAATTCAACACTGAATTAATCGGAGGTACTAGCCAGTGGCGTAAGAACTATAAGAAAAATAAAAGCATAAGACTGGAATAGCAAAAGTGAAAGTGTTATTGTTTGCACTTGATATAATTATCTACACAGTAAAAACAAATTAATTTACAAATTACTGGCTGAAAACATGTAAAGATAACTGGGTGTAAAATTATACAAAAATTAAGTGTATTTCACATTGGTAGAAAATTTACAAAAGCAGCTTCACAAAAACTACTCAAGACCCGAGTGAAAAATAATTCAGTCTATTGAAAGAAAACATTTAAACAAATGAAGAGACATACCATGTTCATAAATATATTAAGATTTGATAGGAAAAAGATGTCAATTCATCTGTAGATTCAACACATTGCCAAATAAAATCCATACAGAATTTTTCATGAAACTTGACAAAATGATTCTATTACCTCACACCTGTCAGAATAACTATTATCAAAAAGACAAGAAATAGCTAGTGTTGGCAAGAATGTGGAGAAAAGGGAACCCTTATGCACTATTAGTAGGAAGAATGTAAATTGGTGCAGCCATGGAAAACAGCATGGAGGTTCCTCAAAAAGTTAAAAATAGAACTACCATATGATCCAACAATTTGATTTCTGGATATTTATCTGAAAAAAAAAACAAAAACACTTACTAGAGAAGATATATCCACCCCTATGTTCACTGCAGCACTATTTACAAGATACGGAATCAACCAGTCAACCCAATTTCCATCAATGGATAAATTGTGGCACACACACACAGGAATATTGGGCCATAAAAGGAATGAAGTCTTGCCATTTGTGACAACATGGTGGACCGTGAGGGCGTTATGGAAAGTGAAATAAGTCAGACAGAGAAAGACAAATACCATATGATTTCCCTTGTATGTGGAATTAAAAAGCACTATTAAGAGGATTCATAAGCTTTACTATATTAAAATTAATAAAGTATGTACATCAAAGATATCTTAAAGCTAGTGAAAAGACAAACTACAAACTATGAAAAGATATTTGCAAACATATAATGCAAAGGAGTAGAATCTAAGATACATAAAGAATTCCTAACAAACCAATAAGAAAAGGACAAGCAACAAAATAGAAAAAATGAGAAAAAGACATTAGTATTTATTTCACAGAAAGGGAAACATATACAAAAGATGTTTAATCTCATTATTAATTAATGAAGAATGCAAATTAAGACTACAATAAAATATCATTTTATAGCCACCATATAGGCAAAATGTAAAAATCTTGGCAATAGTAAATATTGGAAAGGATGTATATCAACATGAATCTTTTGTACACTGCTACTGCTAGTGAGAGTGAAAATAAATAGGTACAACTACTTAAGAAAATGAAATAATATTATTCTTTTTAAAAGGGTAACATTTACACATTCTGTGAACCAAAAATTCCACTCTTAGTACATGCCCTAAAGAAATTTTTACACACATGCTCCAGAAGACATGTTGCTAGTAGCAAGAAACTAGAAAACAGCCCATCACACATTGGCATATTATACAAGAAAGAACAATAAATTACAGTATATGCAGCAATATTAGAAACAGAATATTGAATGAAAATCAATTTCCAGAAGCATTTATATATATATATAAAATTTTTATAAAACTTAATAAGTAAAACTGAACAATAGATTTAGTATACATATATGTCACAGAAACATTTCTTTTTTTAAAATATGGAACACTTCATGAATTTGCATGTCATCCTTACGCAGGGGCCAGCCATGCTAATCTTCTCTGTATCGTTCCAGTTTTAGTATATGCGCTGCTGATGTGAGCACGAGAAATATTTCTTTTATACAAGGGGAATAATAAACACAATACTAAGGATAATGGATATTATTTTCAGAGAGCATAGAAGTAAATGCAAAATATTGGTAATATTCTCTTTCTCGGGTTGGGGGACAGGTTCCCAGGTCTTCACTTCATTACCAGGTATTATAACTTACATATATTCTTATATTGAAAAATAAAAATAAATAAGAAATTAAACCAGCTATGTTTTTTAAAACAAAATGATTTTTCACAATACCCTAAAACCTTTCAGCAACAGGCCTGAAACAGTTTAAAAGAAATACATTTGATTTTATAGTTTGAATTATTTTAATAATGCAGTCCCTTTTCCCCCAAAAAATATATGAATAATTAAATCGGGGGGGGGGGGGGTCTTCATTCTTTTTAGCTGACTGATGGAATAATTTCTATTTTAAATCCAATCTCAGTTCCCCAGGCACACAGGGGGAAATGCAGCCACATAGGAGGTAATTTCAGTATGGACCAATCCAAACAGCAGATAATCCACATTTCTGTTTAGCTTAAAATGTGTCATTCAGTCTTTTAACATTCCATTTTATGTCCTAATTATGCTTGGTTTCAAAGGAACTTCTATTCCTGGGAGGGGGGCTAAAGAAGAATGATCCAGGTGTGTCATAAATAGCTGACAGTAACACATACATACACACACATCATATCATCATCATATCACATATCATATATATGAGAAGAAATCAACAAGGTGGGGTTTTTGCAGTTTGGCAGAGAGGTGAAGATAGATGAGTACAAACCTTCCTTCCAATGATAATATTCAGTATCTGGTTATAGAATTGAATGTCTATGAATAATTTCCAAAAGAAAAAATTTAAAAACCTGACTGAACCTGAGTGGCATGCAGTACTCAAAGATGAACTTAACTAATTGAGAAGCTTTCTGCGTCATCACAAGCCCAGTCAGAATTTCACTACATCCATTTTGGTAGGTATATTAAGGTATGATTCTTTAAAAAGGCATTCTACTTCAGAATGCCTTCGTAGGTGTGCTGAATTAAGAAATTGAAGTAGTGATATCTGTCCATCCACACTTTGACAGGATGAAGGTGATCGTCTTCTCTCAGACACAAAAATATAATCAGAGAATTAAGTAATAATTAAATGAGGTCGGATTTCACTGATAAGCATAATAGTGGCTGCTATAAAGTTACTCTGTACCAGTCGAGATCTCTCCCCTGCATGCCATCTAAACACACACTCCTCACCACCTGAGAGGTATTCAGCAGCCACACCAAACAAAGGAAAATGAGGACTGCAAGAAAGGCTATAAATTCATTGCTGCAGCATTAACTACATTAAAAAATTAGGAAAAAAAACAACACATTTTTTACAAAAAGCTGTAATTTCACTAATTAAATATCTCCTTTAGAAATCAATAATACTCTAAGGAAGAGAAAAATTAGTGTTTCCTAAGTCAAGTTCTTAATATTAAACATAATTTTAAAAAAGAAAAAAAATTGAGATATTTACTTCTTCAATACCTGACTACTGTTTTTGCCAATGATAATTTCTGAGTTACTGTATGAAAATCGACAACATCTGAACAGATATTTCTCCTTCCCAAAACTCTTATTATCTAATAAGCAATTAGCCATACATCATCTTACACTTCAGAAATAAAAATGGAAGGAAGTTCAAGAAGATATATAAGAAAATGAAAGTTTTCTATTAGTATAAACAGTTATGAGATGTCTCAATTCTCTACATTCTTCATCCCATGCTTCACACCACCTTGCAAAGTCGGGCTGGTACACTACCTTCTCTGCAGCTTTGAGATGGAATCAGAATGTAAGTTAAAAAATTACATTCCAGTTTTCATTCCCTACTGGAATATTTTTGGTGGCCGCTCACCAAAGAAGACAGCCAGAATGTCATCCCTTTCAGCATTCTATGGAAGCACAAAAGAAAACTTTTCTCAATCTTTTTAAAGCAAATTAATTTTCATGTGATTTTATAAGTTTTTGTTTCTCATTATGTATTTAAGGTTTTAGTAAAGAGAGAGAGAGAGGGAAGATATTCTGTCAAAATGCTTCCATTATCCTTTGCTGAAACCAGTAGGAGCTTTTAGATATGAAAACAGAGCCAGACGGAAACACTTTATGGGAAATCTGCAGTGGCACAGTTTTGATAATGAACATGCCTAGAGAAATAAAATCATGAATGCTGTATGTGTTGGGGGAAGAAACTCTTATCTTCAGTTGGGTTCTGTTTCCCTTAGAGAGGCTTATGTTACCTACAATCAATAGGTCTCCAACTAAACAAAGAAGATTTACATATGCTGGTGCATTTTGGAGCTAATGAAATTGGTCTCACAGTTTTAATGAGAGTAAAGCATTAGATAGAAGGGGAACTTGGTAGTTCACCATATATAATTGGGCCCAACTCCCTAATTCTGATTTTTAACTTTTCTACTACTACTGCCCTTGGCCTGTCCCAACTTAGGATAAATAACTGTGCAAAATACACCCATACAAATAACACACAACCTTCAAATGCTCTCTAGTGAGGATATGATTGACACTTTCCCTTAGAAGCAAGACGGTATGTGTCTGTCCAAAATGTCTGTCCATCCTAAGAAGAGGGTTCCATTCTAAATCAAGATTATACTCTTTAAAAATTCAATAGCATGTAATTAAATTCCTTTATCTCCTCTCTAGCCGGGTACCTAGCGCACAGTAGGTACTTGAGAAATGATTGTTAGTATAAAGATGAATTTTTTCACAAAAGCTGGAGCAATGGCTGTATTTCTCTATCACCTCCACATCATCTTTACTAAGTAAACGGTTCAAATAAAAGTCAAGACCAGGATCCTAGATGAAAAAACAAATAGCCTGATAGTTTTCTATAAATAAATCTAGCATCACCAAACCTTTATTTTCCAAATTATAATTATTATATGTCAATAACTCCTTTAGATTAACATGAAACTTTGGATTTGGGTGAAAAAACAGAAATCAGTTAAGTTGATGGAGTGAAAAGGGACAATCATTCTGACAAAGATATTTAGGCTTAAGTTCAATACTGAGAGGAACACACAAAAACTATATAATATGTTACCTAGTTTTAAAATTCATACTATCAGCTTCTCACACTTTTTTGTTTTGTTCAACCTATATTCTCCACTTAGTCCCCAGCTCAACAAAGGCACTGAGCATGTACTCAGTGCTAGTCCTTATGCACCCCTATTGGGATACACAAAAAACTAATACAATACAATCCCTGTTCATAAAGAAATCACAGCCCAATTTGGAAGACAGATCATTTTACTATGATACAGGAAGTGCTAATGCTGAGGACTAATATGGTGCTACCAGGATGGTAAGGGAATGTAGGGAAAGAGCCCTTAGCCCAAAGCTGGGGTGAAAAGAAGGCTTAAGTAATGTTAGCCAATTAAAGGTGGGTGAGAACATTCTAAGTAGAAGGAATAATACAAAAAGAGAGAGAGAGAAAATACACACTCGTGGGCACGCACGCATTACAGTACACAATGTGGGTAGAGACTCGTGGGAGACAGGCAGGAAGACAGGGTGACCCTGTATGTTCCATGCACCAAAATCACTTACATCTTTGCCTGTGCTTCTCTTCAGTTTCAAGGTTAGTTGTGTTAACTGGCTAACTCAATCCAGAAAGATAATTTAATCACTTTAATTATTCCACATATGTTTAAATATACCTTACCCTTGTTTAAATATTGTATCTATTACCTTGATTACAAATAAGAACACTCAGTAAAGTACAGCGCTGTGAAAGGGGGCTTGCCTGAGCCTGAGACCTTCCACAACACTAGTTCCTTAAGTCCTGAAGCCCCATCTCAGACTTCAGCTCCTACCTCCAAAAGCTCAAGGATCCAAGGCTGATACGTTCGTTTACTGAAACATCACCCTGGTGGGAATCTGCAACTGGGGATTCATTCCAAATTTAAAGACAAGCAATCCTTTTTCCAGATTTTGGACAGAGACAATGAGAATACTCTATAAAAATTTCCTTCTACATAACAGATTAAAAAAAAACAAAACAGAAAAAGGGGGTTATATTGCAGACCCATAATTCTAACCTGAATATATATCATTTAAAAATATAACATTGATTAATGCTGTTTATCATGTTCAGTTTTATTCTTATTGAATGAAAAAATGAGAGATTAGAGAAAACAGAGTAAGACCAGGTATGTAAAAATGTTATTCAAGATTATAAGAAAATAAGTTATGGGGGTGGGGGGAAGGAGATGGAGAGTAGCAGCAAAAACAGAGAAATTTTCAAACTATTTAAACTTTCATTATTTGTAAATGATACACTTTTAAAATAAAGGAAATACCGATATTGCTAAAATCATCAGGTGAATTCTGGTATTTGTATCCATGTGGCTTATTTAATCTGAAGACAACAAGGTTTTCCCTGGAGAAACTGAACTGCTAACATCTCATGAACTCGATCAAGTTAGCCTCACTTCTCTTACTGACTGTAAAACAAAGAAATCTGTCTTGAGTTTCATGATGTCCCACATGTTACTGTGACTAATCCCCAGCCATTTTTATTTAGAGTGTTCAGATGAGTTTCTATGACAATCCCATGCCATTCTCAATGTTATACGCACATTTTCTGCCTTTGAACATAATTACAGAACAAATCATTTGTTTTATTCTTTATACAAAGTAAAGTCACATATTTAATGGCTGGAGAAATAGACTTCACTTTCAGATCAAACAACAAGCAGATATAACCGAGAAAAAAAATCTAATATCCACTGTTTGGGACCACCAGATCGTTGTTGTTGTTTGTATTTCATTTATCAGACATTCAAAAGTTCTTCTCTTTCCCATCACCATCTGTACACACTTTCCCCCAAGAACCTCATACCTATCCCATTAACACACAAGTACACACTCACACATACAGGACCTTCTTCCATGCTTTCTGTCCAATTATATATCCATCCATATCTGTTTTCTTTTAACAACAGAAAATAAGGCAAAGCAGCCTGAGACCTCGAACAATTTAAAATCCACTTCAGTATAAAAGTCTCAGGACTGCTAACTTTCTTTGGAGATGGAGCAAAATAAAGAATTTAGGTTACACTACTGGGACTTGACTGTGTTTTAGGAACTACTACCAACTGCCAAGTGCATTCGCCACGACTTGCTCTCCAAGGCCTTCCCTTCCTTCCTGTTTTTACTCCCTCATTCTCCTGCTGTTTAGTTTTCCTATAACTCTGTTTTATACTTCAGCATTACTAAAATGATGTTCTTAAAAAAAAAAAAAAATAGAACTTTTTTTTGCCCCACCATCTTTCTTTAGAGAAAACATGCTACGGTCAACTACCAAATAATAGAAACCACCTGTGCCCTGTCCTGAGTCTGCTCGGATTTTCTTTCCATTCGGATGTATTTGACATTAAAAAAAAAAATTAACACTTAGGAGAGGTATCATCAAATGACAGAATTCCTCAACATACACCAATTGTACAGTAAAAAGGCAGTACAACAATTGGTTCTGCAAATTTTTAAAACCTCACACAGGCTATTGGTTAGAAGAATCCTAATTTTAAAACATCAAAAGCTTTTAAGTCTTAATTTCTGAGGATATTACATCTAAGATGGCATCAACACATTTCATAATATTTTCTTTAGTTTTGTACAACTGGCACCTAGCACACAGAGCCTGATAGGTAGTTAAGTGCTCAAAAAGTGTTTGCTGAACTAAGTTGCCAATGACAGGATAGAATTTGTCAATAGAGGCAACCAAAACAGACTTCTATGCCAATACCAAACAAAAAGCATCAACCTTGATGCAATGATAACCACAGGCCACAACTGCTCTCTAATTTATGCAAGAATTTTCTATCTCTAGAGCTCTTGGGATGGGTGGTCTTAGTTTCCTCACCCATAAAATTAAACTTTCCTCCAAGGTGTGAAACTCTGAATCTGATAACAAACCAGAAAAGGCTCTGTTTCTCACCATTTTTTTTCCAGTCCTCACCTAAGGACTTGCTTTATTGATTTCAGAGAGAGAAGAAGGGAGATGGAGAGAGAGAGAGAGGGAGAAACATCAATATGAGAGTGAAACATTGATCAGTTGCCTTCCACACATGCCTTGACTGGGGATCAAACCCACAACCCAGGTATGTGCCCAGATCAGGAATCAAACCTGAGACCTTTCAGTGTACAGGACAACGCTCCAAGCAACTGAGACACCAGTCAGGGCTTTCACTATTGTTTAAGCTTCAGAGAAAACAAAGGCTTTCTGCACTATTACAGACTTCCAGAGAGCACTTTTTATCCCATCCATAAATTCAGAGGTGGAGCTTAGAGAGTTTGATACACCGAGAAACATCTGAGAGAGTAAAAACAGGCCACAGAAGGGTCTGACCTAGTTACCAACCCCAACCACTTATTAACCGTGTACTGTGGGCATGCTATTCAGCCTCTTGGACTGTTACCTCACCCGCATAAAAGCAACTGCAAAAGCACCTCTACCTAAAATTTAAGGTTTGTATGAAGAGCTAATAAAACAATGTATAAGAAAAACTGATTTACATTTTACAGAAGTTAACAACATGAGTCTGAAGTCTGATGGATCTGACTTTAATCCTGGCTTTGCCACTTACTGTTGGCATGACCTTGAGTGAATTACTAACACTCTCTGAACCTCTGTTTTCTGAATAACAGGAGTAACCCACAACAAAAGCCATCTACGATCTCTACACGCCTCACCACCCAACTTGAAAAATTTTCCAAAACCTGGAGAAGTCCAAAAGAAAAACAAAATAGAAACAAAGAAACCCACATATAACCAAAGAAACTCATATCTAGAAATTTAGAAAACCAACACAGCCATTCCCAAGAAACAGAACCCAAATATGTAAACTCCTTGGATTGGTCCAAGTGTTGAAAGCGTTTGAAATAGAATGCTCTAGTACAAAGCCAAACACACTGTCACAGCTGCTCTGTCCTCACTTTTAAACACAGTGATTGATAGGAAAGGCCAACAATGAGCATCTCTGAACATGAATCTGTTTCTCTCCAATCTATCTGTTTCCCTCCAATTCTGTTTCTCATGACGTCTCGTGGCTTATTCAGCATCATCCCCACCCCAGCACTTCCAAGGCTCAACTGCAAGTAAAGCAAAAAGCTATATATAATCAGTCTCTATACAGCAAAATTGAAAAGGTCTCTCTTTGAAGAATTACAAAGCTTTCTGTCTGAAACCTCTGACCTTTCTAGAGAAATCAGAGTCACTATAGTTTAAAAATGTAGGTGGTAAAAGTACAAAGGATTACATTTATCCATTTTACATGTTTGCTGTCTTTTCTGAAATGAGAGGCAAATGCCTTTAGAACAATTAGTTCTGCAACCCTAACTTTTCAGACTGCAATATCCTCATTTCCCAAAGAACTGTACACATCCTGGGCTCCATGCAATAACGCTTTTCGGTTCATCTCCATTCCCCCTTTCCTTTTCAAGAAAATCTAAAATACATGAATCTCAGAACTTTTTAAAAAAATATAGGACTTTTTCTATTACAGTGAACAGACCTAGAAAATAATATAAAATTCATCTGAATATTCTGAAAACACCCCTGTAATTCTTGATTAGCTTGGGAGGGGGAGGGATTTCAAAAAGCACATTTAAAAGGAAAAATAATTCTTAATAAAAGTCCTTGTCACATATTAAGAGGCCTTACAATGAAAGTATTGCAAAGACTATCTTTTGCTGACAGGAACGTACAACAATAGTTATGCTGTTAAACAGCATCGAGTTACAAAGACTTCATTCTCAGAAGTTACTTGAAACTACTCTCCAAAAGAGAACCTCTAACATTTAAAAGAAGGGAGAAAAAGCCAACTAAATGAATCAAACGGAAACTTTAGTAACTTAGTAATGTTTGTATAATATATACATCCATGCAGAAATCTTGCCACCGTCATCCAAAGATGAAGACAAGCTTTCGCCAAAATCTTATCCAGAATCCATGCTTCATATTAAATGTTTGTAATCCACTTATCTTTAACTTCCAATTACTTAATGCTAAAACTATTTTCTCAGGTATGCACACTTTTCCATCAACAATATTTTAATATTTAATATTATTTATGAGTTCTCCATATAAAAGATATTTATAATTTTCATTGCTAATTTGCTGTTATATCCGAGCCCATACAATTCTGTTTAATAGCATGCTATGGAGGTTTGCATGCACCTATACAATATCTTAAATACTCATTCTATAGTAAGCTCTTTAAGCATCTCCATTCCTCATTCATCTGTAATGTTTAAAAATGCCATGAAGGGCTTGATGTCATCCCAACACTGAAATCCATCTGTCTATGGCCCTCCTTTGACTTTCCTTATTCTGCAGCCAAAATTTTCACAGAAGTTGATGAGAATTTGTCAACCTAAGAACTTGTAATGCCAGCTTCTTTGAAAAGCAATGGAATATTTGAAAGTGACAATGATGGGATCCTGTTCTTACAATATTCACTTTATGTAGAAGCTTAAAATTAGATAACTAATCCCTTTAAGATTAAAATACACAGCATTCTAAAAGCTTCCAATAGGGGAAGAGGGAAGAAGCAGGCACATAAGACAGAGGAGATAGTCCTTAGTTTCCCTTATTAAGTAATGTGTCCCTGATTTCAATAATTAAATGAAAATGGATATCGTAGCACCACCTTTCCATTGGATAATAGAAATTGACAAATATCTTTCCCTACCAAAAATTTACCACTCAGATCAAGCTATAGGACTCACCACAAACACACCTTCCCCAACAGCATGAACATGTTGCACTACCCAATCATGGGCTGGCAAAATTACAAAAGGAAATGAAATCGCCCAAACCATAGCAACAAAGGCTACAGCCTGATAATGGCAGATGCTGCACAGACATACATACACAATTTTAAACAGTATTCACTTTTTAAATGTTTTATTGTTACTTTTATTTCATCTCACTTTTTTAACCCACAGAGTATTTCAAAAATAGCCATTAAAATATTTATATAAATATATATACTCTGAAAACTGTTTATGTATGGAAATTCATAGGATTTGGGACCACCACAAATTCCAGAGACATCATAAGGCAGGCAGTACAGACTGTACTAGAGTGGAAAGGACAATGAGTATGAGTCCTATTTTTTAATTTGAATTATCTTTTGTTTCCAACTAAATCACTTTTATTCACACACCTAAATTTTCCTCTTCCAGCATAACCCTAACATTAAGACTTATTAGTATTTCTTAAAAAGAAAGTTAAGGCCTTGGGTGGGGCGAGAACTGGGTGGAAGGGGGCAATAACATTGGGAAAAAAAGGGACATCTGTAATATGCTCAACAATAAAGTTTTTTTTTTAAAAGTTACATTTCTATTTTATTCAATATAAGTTCCAGTTAAGCAACTTACTTTTTTTTTTTTTTATCCTCACCCGAGGACATTTTTCCATTTTTTGTTCAGATAGAGTGGGAGGGAGAGAGAAACAGAGAGAGAGAGAAACATCGACGTGAAAGGGACACATCGAGTGGCTGCCACCCGCAAGACCAACCAGGGCCGGGGACAAACTGCAACCGAGGCACGTGCCCTTAGCGGAAACCGAACCC